ATGGTATGTACCTTTACCTGAGGGACTTTTTGCCTGTGTGGGTGCTCATCAGCACTGTTGGGGTATTTTTATTTTCATAATCTAACTCATTACCGTCCTGCAGTAATACAGTCATTGATGAAATAAAACGTCTGACCACGAGTGACTCGTGGAAGTTTCGAAAACTATACAAAATCCGTAGCAGATTGCGCTATTCAAGTTAAATTTGCACCGATGCTTAGTTTTCTGCCTTCCGACGAAAACATCCGGGCTATGACGTTTCGTTTCGTCCTAGACGGAAGCAACCGTCAACATTCTTTCGCATAATCGAAGAGACAAGAAGGAGCACAGTGGCTATCTCTTATCTTAGTGGTTAAAATAATAGTTACTCAAGATGATATAAATTGAGCAGAGATCCGTTACCCTTGAATGAAAATGTACGTAGCTACTTATCTCCTTTTGAATTGTCTACCTATGAATTGCCGTACTATTCCACGTGTGATATCATATGTCCATTTTTCTTTGTAATACTCTTTGTAATTGTTCAGTATAAATCTGGATCCAAACAAGTTTCAAAGGCAGTTCATTCAGAAAGCAGGTATTTGAACTGGAAACAAGACAACTGGTTTGTGTAAACACATTCAGTTAAGGACCACCGGTTTTTAATAAGAGGTCAGGTTACCTCCCTTTTATATACATGTCCACAAGTCACTGAATAATGCATCCTTGCTTAAAGGTAATCAACTGAAAACTTGTAGATTTTCTTCGGGTGACCTAAATGTCGTTACTGCACACATCACTAAACAAGTTGATTGACGTTTTAGAGTAATGCCCCTCTTTCTGAATTCAAAATCATGAACACCGTACTGAAATCCGCATCCAGTGATGTCAAAAATGCAACTGAATTTCGCCTAGCTTTATCTAAGCGGCGTTGCAATGGCAAGTGTTTGCAAGTCGCACTGAGCAAAATGTCTCTCTTCAGGTCACATACAGCGTCTAATGGGGGTGAAATTCGTCCCTCGGAATCGCACGTAGCGTCAGTGTTGCAGCAAGTCAAGAGCTTTGAAGCGCCCACAGGGATAAGATGGCTTGAGCGCTAAAAGATATGACTAATTTAAAGCACCACAGCAAAATCTCGGTGACTTTGAATAACCATTAATAATTCAGATGCAAAAAGTTGCACAATCCTTCAAGATACACTAGATACATTACAAGCATGATAATACACTATGCAGATGTCGCGTATGTGTTTTAAGAATGTCCTCTAGTCACTACACAGATGATCTACAGAGGAATCGTACCATGCGTGATAGAGGCATTCAACCAGGTGACTACAGGTCATGGTACTTTCAGACCCGTTTATATTTCCGACAGTGTTATTTAACTAACCCTCAGCTCCGAACATAGTCGTAACTCATAATTCCAACCTAAACTCTCGACACTTAACATTCATTTTAAAAGCCATAAAGCCACCTAGCAATACAAACCTGCAGAGACAATACCTAGGGAATAAGTGGAATATTGTATCTACCCTCCAAAAGTTAAGGTGGTAGGCATGATATAATTTGAAGTGAGCCTTTATAGCACTGCCCGTGTCTGACTGGATCTTGAGGATAAGTTTTTGAAAGACCTTGACTTTGAAAATGATACTTTAACCTCCACCAAACGTTTAATTACATCAACCGACAGAATGTGAATTTAAGGCAATTAAAGTGCGCGTATCCGACGCAAACATCTTTCACATATCCCTTACTTTTTGAGCTAAAGTATTATTTCGACATCCTTAGAGTCATAATGACTGAAGTGGGCCATAGTAGGAAACGAACATCCGAGTGCTCCGACTGAACTAGAAGAAAAAAACGCCAATAGGCCGGTTCCCGGGGAATCGGCCAATTAGTTCGTAGGATAACCCCTCAACCGATAGCCAATATCAAGTCAACTACCCCCCCCTCACAGAGCTCCCTGACTCCATATGGTGCCACTTCACCGTTGGGTACTGCAAATATCTAGTGGGCAGCATTTATCGATCACCTTCATGTGGAGCAGACCACAACCAGGTACTGCTAAATACAATCTCAGCAACTCAAGACATGGGTTATGATCAAATTGTCATAGCTGGTGACTTCAATGCCCCATCTCTTAACTTGGTGTCGGGAAAAGCCCATGATAGATTTGATCGAAATCTGCTGCATACCATCAGGAAGGCTGGATTCACTGAAAATGTCAAGATGGATACTAGATGGGGCCCTGATGGGAAGTCTTCTAGACTGGATTACGTGCTCACTAGTGACCAGCTACTAGTGGAAAACGTTCAGATCACGACTCCCATAGGTAGTAGTGACCACGCGGTCATAGTATTCGACATAGTCCTCCGCGAGCGCTTACAGTGGGACAATACACAGCCCTATCTGTGTTATAACAAAGCCAACTACACCAAAATGCGAAGACTTCTGTCTGAAGCAAACTGGCCTAAAAAATGGACAGAGCTAACAGTAGAAGAACACTGGAGAGTGGTAAAGGAGATCATTCACCAGGCGGTCTCAGACACTGTTCCTTTAGTCTCACCAAAAGCTAGGAAGCAACGATCATGGCTGAAAAGGGGGACAACGCCTTCTGCAGGCAAAGCGAAAAGCCTGGTTCGCGTGGCGACGATCGAAGAGTCAACCCGAACATGAAGTGTACCTTGAACTCAGGAATCGATGTAACATACGAGTCCGGAGCGATAGAAGGACATTTCAGGGAGACCTCGCCAATAAGCTTCTCGTGAACCCCAAAAGCCTATACAGGTTTATGTCCGAAAGAAAACCGACCAACCAGGGAGCATGCAATCTAGTGGGTTCTGATGGGAAATCTCTTACTAGTCTTGAAATGGCAGAGACATTCAGCCTAGCCTTTCACAGGCAACTAAATAGTAACGAGGATATTACCCCACAGAACATCCAGATTACATCGCAAAACCAACACGCGAAAACCTGCTGGGTACATTTCAAATTACCCCGGCTATGGTACTTGCAAAATTGGGAAGGTTGGCTTCGGGAAAGTCTTCAGGTTGTGATGACATCAGACCATCTGTCCTGAAGCAGTGTTCAGAAAGTCTCTGCCAACCCCTAAGTGATCTGTTCCAACACTCCCTTGATGTAGGGAAACTTCCATGTGAATGGAAACGTGCAATCCTATCCCCTATCTTCAAGGGTGGTGACCGGCAGAATGTGACCAGTTACAGACCAGTTGCTCTACTTCCAGTGATATCGAAGATATTGGAAAGTCTCATTGACGACCACATGAGAAAATACTTCGATGGGACTAACCTTCTTCACGAAGCACAGCACGGTTTCAGGAGGGGAAGATCCTGCGTGACGAATCTTCTACTAGCTTGGAACGATTGGACACTATCCTGGGACAAAAAGGTACCAGCCCACGTGATCTTTCTCGACTTTGCGAAAGCATTCGACACAGTTCACCATGGTCTGCTCCTTCACAAAATAAGCAAGGCGGGTGTTTCTGGAGCACTTCTCGCATGGCTGAAGATTACTTAGGCGAGAGAGAATTCTGCACCAAAGTCAACCGCATCCGATCATCCTGGCACACCTCGGCATCAGGGGTTCCTCAGGGTTCTATCCTAGGGCCGTTGATGTTTTTGATTTTTATCAACGACCTGCCCCCCCAACTAAACTGCTCTGCGCTTCTTTACGCTGACGACGTAAAGATTTGGAGAGCAATAAACTCATCGGAAGACTCAGATAGATTGCAGGCTGACCTGCAAACTCTGGGAAACTGGGCTCTGGCTAACGGAATGCCTTTCAACCTAAAGAAGTGCAAAGTAGTGCAACTTCATTCCGGCAGGTCACAGAGTGTAAATTACACCCTTGGTGGCCAGAACTTGAGTTGTGTTCCATCAGAGCGTGATCTAGGTCTTATTCTAACAGAAAAGCTAGACACCAGTGGAAATTACTCGAGGGACGTCGCCAAAGCCTACGCAACTTACACTTTATGCATAGGCAGCTGGGAGCTCTCACTCCCGAACTGTTCTTAAGGTTATATAAGGCATATGTGAGGCCACACCTTGAGGTGCATAATATCATTGCACCTCCGCTACTCAAAAGGGATGCTAACATTCTAGAAAGTGTCCAGAGACGAGCGACAAAATGGGTGATCGGCCTCCGCAACAAATCATATGAGGAAAGACTAAAGAAATTAGGTCTTTTCACACTTAGTTACCGTAGGCACAGGGGAGACCTCATCACCGTCTACCAAATCCTAAATGACCAGGCCCACCCAAATAAAAGCATCCTGCCATTAAGTGATTATAGGCTTCCACGAGGTAACCCGCTAAGGATAGCACACCAGAGACCAAAGACTCGAGTGCGATCACATTTCTTTTCGCTTCGTGTTTGCCGTCTCTGGAACGCTTTACCGGCGGCCGTGACTACAGCGCCATCTCTGGAGATTTTTAAGCGGAAGCTAGACAATCATGCAGAAATGCAAGGTTTGTGTCTCAATGGCTTATCCTCATAAAACTTGAAACCACACTGTCAATGATAAGCGTACAAACTAAATCCCCACGACCTATTCTGCCTTCTCTCACTCTATCTTTTCCTTAGGTCACCTTTATTATTCCACTTATCTCAACCTATATTATCTACACTACAACCCATTATTTTTATTCTTATTATTATTACTACTATTCTGCTTTTATGACTACACCGAATGACCAACGGGAGTTAGGTCAAACTCCATTCACGGCAGCAATACAGTCCTAACATACTGCATACTACAAACCACATCTCGACCAATCCCCGCACCACTCCTCCTGGAGTCTACCAGAGCTAAAGCAGTCGAGTGGCGGGACTTACTACGCAGAAGCTCACCGAAGATCTGGAACCTCTACCTCACAATCAAGAAGCGAGCTCAAAGAAATCACTGGTTTATACTAGCTCGTAATCAGGATATTGGATATTGGATATAAACACTAGTGGTTCACGTCGACTTATAATGCGGTCATTGAGAACCACGAATTTACAGCAAACTTTCAGAATCTCAAGGTCACCACGAGGTCACCTACATTATACGGTTATCGTTTATGAGCCGATTTACTGTCATTTATACTAGAGATTTATGACCCACTATATTGCATTTTCCAGTATTAGGTGTACACGCTCTTGTTTCATTTCGTGTTTTATCGTGTTATACACTTCAGATTTATATAGATTGAAATTTACCTGAGTTAATCCCAGTAGAATCTAAATGTCATTATAGTTTTCAGTCTCCTCACTCATTCGAAGTGTGAGCTCATATAAGATTATAATCATTTCATTCAGCTTCCCAATTTCTTGACACAGAATTGAAGCTTCGAAACCTGTGATAATTCCTTTCTAGTAAATTTCTGTCCCCCTTCAGGACCCCTTCTTCAGGTAGTCGGTTCCTAGAGTTTATGACTCAGGATGAGAACCTATACTCTAGGGGAATAAAGCTAATCCCTTGCTTTTGATCTCTCCAGCTATGTTCTGTTAGGTGTTCCGATCTCGTGGTAAGGAAAAGTAAGTATTCATAAGGTCTGTAGTCATTAATGGGGATATTTTTCAATATCTCAGTAAATCTCTTCTTTGCCTACGGTATCACGGGGAGAAGAGATTTAAACTGACTAGTCTTTCCTCAAATAATAGATTTGTCATGGCAGGAATCTTGCGTGTTTCCTTCCCTTATATGATGTGTGAGTCCTTAAAAACAACGGTTCGCTACTCAGATATAGTTTTTCAGTCTTGACGTCACCAGAGATCTATATGACGGCTGACCATATCTCAAGTGATTTTAGTAAAGGCCCTGCGAATCGCCGTTGAGAATCTGGAACTACCAGCAGCCACCGCATGACAATGTGCTGTACCTATTAGGTCGTTACTTACAATGACACCTAAATCCAAATGAGTCTGAACTGATGGGAGTGTTATCCCGCCTAGTAACTAGGAGTTGATGCTTGCGTGTCCAATGCATATGGTTGCTTACTTCGCTACGTTGATTGGGCGGATTCATTCTTTGGACCAATCTAATAATTTGGTAGCGTACCCTGGCCTCGTGAGCCCATCACTCCGACTCCCTTCAGCTCTCTCCAGATTTCTGAAGTAATCTGCGCAAAGGACCATTGGGGAATCCGTGAGCACAGACAACTTATTGATATGTACTGTTGTCCAGGAGGAGAGTTTCCAGTTGATCCCGACCCTCTGCCTCCCAACCACCTTGAGGAGATCCCTAATCCAGTTTAATAAGCTGCCTTTGATACCACGAATTTTCGACTTTGTGAGCAGTCTTTTGTGATTCACTTTATCCAGGACTTTGCTGAAGTCTATGAAGACGACGTCAACGGATGTTCTATTGTCTCTTGACTTGACCCTTCACCCATCTCTCTCTTACAGTGAGAAGATTTGACAGACATGAGAGGTTTCCTCGGAAGCCATGCCATGCTTTGGATGACAAGTCGTTGTTTTCCAGACATGACATGATAGCTTTCTTGATGATTCCCCCCAGTGTCTTGATTGAGGTGCTGGTGAGACTAGTAGGCCTGTAGTTTGAAGGCCATTCATTGTCTTGATCCTCCTTTGTAGACGAGGGTTACTATGGCGTCTTTCCAGTCACGCCGTAACACTGTATTTAAGAAACATAGCTTGAAGGTTGTGTCGTTGCATTTTGAGCCAGATGCGTTCCGAACTTCATCCTTGATTGGCGGATTTCTGCAATAACTTTGTTCCTAGCGACGTTATATTGTATAACTTCTTGGTCTTAGGTGTCGTAAACAGGTTCCATCATTTGTGTTTACTTTTGAATAATTTACGAATCACTCGGTTTATCCAAAGCAGGGGTGTGTATGCGTGCAATGTTTCCCACCCTTTGGGACAGACCAAGGGATGAAGCGTTCCATTACCTGAGCGTAAAAATGCTTCAACTGGTTCTATGCGGCTTCTACTTGGGACTCTGAATTTATGTACCAGTTAATTGAGTTAGCTGCTGAGACGATCGCATTTATATCAGCTTTCCAAAAGTTTGGTCGAGCTGGAGTTTTGGCCCATGATACTGCGACTGTGAGCTTGAAAGTGAGCACCACGTGATCGTTTCTTCCTGAGGGAGGAAGGCTTTGTATAAGGTCTACATGCTCACCATGGGAGAACACTAGACCCAGGGTTGAAGAGGAGTGCTGTGAGTCATAGCCGTGGACTTCATGACACGTTGGACTAGAGCTAGCGAAATGCCAGATTCCAGCAGTTTATAGTCAAAGGAGTTGTTCGAAGACGGCGTCGTAAGGCTTGTCCAGTCAACTGTTGGGGCGTTGAAGTCGCCGACAACAATATTTCGATATTCCGATGTCCAGGAGCCCAGCTTCTCTATTAGGAAGTCGTCGACACTGCAGTCAGATGATATGTAGACCTAATTTTCTACTTGTACATCTATATTTCTCTCACCCTACATATGGCCTTTGAAATCCTGTTGCTTCTTCCCTGTCTTATCTGATCAATGACATTAGTGCGTCTCAAGGTCGCTTTGGAAATATATGTACACAAGTACTGTCAACCTTTTTTGACTGTTGTTTTGAGACTGTGAAAGCTCTCTTGTCAACGTCCGGTCTTCTCTTCTGTCATTCTACGACGAGGCGGTATTATTGTTCTTGTTGTTGACGTGTGTATTCGCTCATAGTCTACTGGGTCGTTGTTCCGATCATCACAGGATTGCGGTTTATAGCAATGAGGTCAATATCTTGGCCTATGCATTTAAGTCTGCAGTGTAGAAGTTCTCACGTTTCAGTTTCGTGTCCGAGAGCTTCGATACTACACCCGATAAAGCATTTCTTGAGGTAGATGACTACGCCACTTCCTTTGTGGCTTAGTCGGTTTGCCCCAAACAGGTTAACTTCGTCATCAGTGACATCGGGTGTGAACCATGTCTCTCTGTGAGGATAATTACATCCGGGTTTCCGGAGTCCACCATATCAACCACCTAAGTCCGTTCGTCCAACAGGCTGCGGGCGTTTGTGTAGCAAACTGTCAGTTCAGTTCAGTGCTTCCGCGCCCCCCCCTACCCACAGAAGTTTCGGGATCATCAAACCTCGAACTCTGACAACCCGAAAACCCTTAATCTTAAGGTTCCTTTCGCCGTTTCGACGTCTTTTGTTCAATTCTACGGCCACAGACTGTCTTTTGATACGGTCTGCTAGGCGTAAGTCGGCACGGACATATATGCCTGTTCCTTTAAGAGTTTGGGAGTTGCTTAGAATGGCACTCCTCTCTTTGGAGTTAAGTACGACTTTGGGAAGGCGTACCGACTGATTTACTGTCGAGTTGGGCTTTTGGCCAATTCTATATAAGCTGTGTACGGTTATGCCTGATGCCATTTTTGGCAGTAGCTTATACAAAAGGGGGCTTGACCAATTTAAGGTCATGCTCGAACCTGATCTTGGAATCGGAAGCCGGTGATTCTTCCACTTTGTGGAGAATGAGCGACATGTCGGAGAGATCAGGTTTGCTTGTGGTGGTTTTCTTGCTCTGCGGCGTAAGTTTCTTTGCGTCCTACGTGGACAGTATGGTCTTTATGGTATCTTTATCTCGCTTTTTGCGGGGACTACATTACGCCATCTCGCGCAGCTACCACACTGCACGTCTTCTTCGACTGGCAATGGACATATAAATCTTTCTCCGTGATTCTTTTCGATACACATACTTTTCAAAGTTAATAGGAACCACCAGATGCACTTTAAATCGTATAGTTCCGATTCACAAAGCTGTTGCGGAAATCCGCCAATCAAGGATGAAGTTCGGAACGCATCTGGCTCAAAATGCAACGACACAACCTTCAAGCTATGTTTCTTAAATACAGTGTTACGGCGTGACTGGAAAGACGCCATAGTAACCCTCGTCTACAAAGGAGGATCAAGACAATGAATGGCCTTCAAACTACAGGCCTACTAGTCTCACCAGCACCTCAATCAAGACACTGGGGGGAATCATCAAGAAAGCTATCATGTCATGTCTGGAAAACAACGACTTGTCATCCAAAGCATGGCATGGCTTCCGAGGAAACCTCTCATGTCTGTCAAATCTTCTCACTGTAAGAGAGAGATGGGTGAAGGGTCAAGTCAAGAGACAATAGAACATCCGTTGACGTCGTCTTCATAGACTTCAGCAAAGTCCTGGATAAAGTGAATCACAAAAGACTGCTCACAAAGTCGAAAATTCGTGGTATCAAAGGCAGCTTATTAAACTGGATTAGGGATCTCCTCAAGGTGGTTGGGAGGCAGAGGGTCGGGATCAACTGGAAACTCTCCTCCTGGACAACAGTACATATCAATAAGTTGTCTGTGCTCACGGATTCCCCAATGGTCCTTTGCGCAGATTACTTCAGAAATCTGGAGAGAGCTGAAGGGAGTCGGAGTGATGGGCTCACGAGGCCAGGGTACGCTACCAAATTATTAGATTGGTCCAAAGAATGAATCCGCCCAATCAACGTAGCGAAGTAAGCAACCATATGCATTGGACACGCAAGCATCAACTCCTAGTTACTAGGCGGGATAACACTCCCATCAGTTCAGACTCATTTGGATTTAGGTGTCATTGTAAGTCACGACTTATAATCTATAGCATACTTTCGCCTGGTGGCTGTGCGTAGAGGACATAGCAGGAGGGTTTAAAAGCAAGTGGATTGCATATTCCTGTTGAGTACCGGCATTGAATCATAAATTCTTGGATTCTAGTGGGAGTAGAAGTGATGGCAGAGACCTCAATTGACTCATTCAGGAGGGCGTTTGGACAAGCACAGAAATTTACTAGAAAAGGATTAACACGGGTTTCAAGGCTTTTATCCTCAATCAAAGGATCTGAATATCTTTATTTAGTTGACGGTGAATATGTTAATTCGAAGGTGAAATTAAAAATTCATCCCACTCATTTCGGGGAAGCGCATTTTGTTAGTTGAGTGTAGCTTTGTTATGGTGCGCAACGCTATGCCAAGTCGCATTGATCATCGCTGCCTGTGTTATATCTCCCGTGTTAAGTGATATAATAGTGTGAGGGATATTGTGATGAGGCTTCAGTTGAGTGAGTTTTGAGATAAGGAGACAAAATCAATCGTCGACTTTGTGAAATTACACCGATTGAGATGGTTAAAACATGTGTTACGCATGTATCATTAGCAATTTATCGTCTTTCTCAACGGGCAATGCTAGCTGACATGGGATGGATCAGGTTGGAAAAAAGAAAGCTAGTGACGGTCAAAAGAGAACATGGCTTCATCATTCAATGAAATCCACAACAGTTAGCTTAAGATAGCCACGTAAGGAAGTGTAGGTTGGCTGACTGACTGGTTGGGTTCCTTAGAATGGTAGAAACCAATAAAGACTGGTGATGCTTGATGAAATGGTTTGAAGTCGTTCTCCATGATGGCGCAGATGCATCCACTCTTTGTGATTCATAATATCCAATAAAACTATTGTTGATATTAGATAATTGGAGGCATTCAGCCACAGGAAGCCTTGGACCTAGGTTTCGTGCTAGTTAGCACTTGTCAGCAAGGCGTATCTTCAACCTTGAAGGAACTCACACCCCTTCTGAGAATTTTCCGTATGACTATTCCTCTTGCCTCATATTTCTGTTTATTATCTCTCTTTCTTTTGAGTCCCTTTTTACTTTCTCTTGCTTTGTGTGCTACGTAGAGGGAGTGTGGCAACTCGAACTGGTGGACATCTGTGCAAAGTTCTACGGTGAAACTAGTCACTCTATGCCAAGTTGGCCTTTATTTCAGATGCAAAAAACTTTTCTTTTAGCTACTAAGCCATGGAAAAGGGATAAAAGGAAAGAAAACAATCACATGCGTGGGTGTAGGTACCATTCGCTACAGTGAGTTTCAAATATGAAGTAGCTTATTCAGCCGATAGCTGGCCAGCATTCTGAACCCAATGTTACAGGCGGTGATTAAGTGTATTTTTCTTTTCCCTGTTGTAGGAGTTGATAAAATCTTTACGTTTGTTATAGTGCAGTAAAATTTTAATTAATAAACGCCTCAGCTAAAGTGTAATTTTGCATTTATATTCACCTCTAGACCAATAACACTTTCTGTATAAATTTAGTCTCTGATAGCTGCATAGAACTTGTTGTTATGATTAGAAATTTGTGTGTGTATACAGTACAATACGTCTCCAAATGACTACGGAAGTGTTTGTGGAATCATACGGGGATGAAGTTTCTCGTGTCTTTATACCGAAGAAAAGTCAAAGTTGTGCTTTGCGTAGTTGGATGCCAGATTTCGATTTATCATGGGCAACTTTAAAGGTTTGTTTGTTTGTTTGCAGATATATATAATGCTGCCATTATAAATACTCTTGGTGTAGAAGTTTTTCCTTCCTGTCGGATATCCATCCAGTGTTAGTGAAGACTATCTAGAATACCAAATCTGGGACACTATACAGGTAAGTTTCGTTTGGCTTAAAAAACTATTGGGTTTCTCTTTGTATAGCTCTTTATTGTTATTATTATTATTATTATTATTATTATTATATTTCCCTGGATTCCGAGTTGATTATAAGGCTCTAACAACACATCCCCACTATATTCTATTCGGTACTGTCTGCCTCAGCTGAGTCCACGATTGCCTATAATATCTGATATGTGCGTCGGTGGCACAGCGGTTAGGACTCTCGCTGACCATGCACATGGTCCGAGGTTCGATCTCCGGCCGACGCACACCTGATATCAACGGTCGGCCTACAAAATTGGGCTACCGATATCACATGGTGAAAATTTCATACTTGTACCAAAAATACAGTGTGGAATCAAGCCATAATAAAAAAATAAACGGAAAGGTAATTTTACAGATTATCAGAATTCATAAATTATGAGAGTAAAGGTTGGGTCATATTAAAAATATTGCAAATTGTTAGAAGTTAAAAGTTATTGGCCATTGGATTCAGTCTCAGTGACTGTGAATGGTTTACGAGATCGCCTACTAGCCTGCTGAATGTCCTGAGTTCGATCCCCGGTGTGTGTGTGTGGGGGGGGCATACACTTATGAAGATCCCCAAACAAGAGCGAAATAGTTGTCTAGTACTCGCTAACGGCGTTAGAAAGCAACTAGATAACAGCGTACTAATTCCATTATAGGTGGTAAGACTTCATTTTAATAAATCACACAGTATTGTTATACGGTAATATTTACTGATGACCACGTTTCGAGCACAATTTATTACTGCTCATAATCGTATCAAGTTACTCACTCACACAACTTTTTGCTTCATTTATGTATATGAGTGGAATTGATAAGATATTTGAATACAATATCAGTAAAGGATAATGTACATTCAGAAATAATAATATGAGTGTTATTGATCAAATAAAATCAGATGGGAAATAAAATGAGTGTTTCTACAGTCAAAACAAGTAACTTGTTAGAATGTTGTGATGTGCTTCAATTGAAATAGAATTTTAAGATTATTTATTATCCTCCTCTGATTTGACTGACTGGTGGTAGTTATATCTTCCATATCTCTCTGGTATTTGCATTGAGTCATCTCTATTGCATGTGTTGGGTGTAGATTCGGTGAACCAGGATTCAGTAATCAATCTCTCTCCATCTCCACTTACCCAAATTACTTTTTAGAATTTTGACTCTATCCCACCTTCACGATTGTGTAGTTGTGTGTTAATGTATGCAGTGCAATTGCTGAGTTTGTTTTCTAAATTACTTATCTTCTCGAGGTCAACCTTTCTTACCAAAGCTAAATTCTTATGTTCCCACAATCTGACTACCCCCGATCTACTAGTTTGACCTATATAGTTGACTTAACTCACAGTCATTGCAGGGTATTTCGTAAATTGTATTATTTTGTTTAACTGGTTCCACCAGGTCTTTTAGCCTACTGAGCTTTTCCAACCTGAGTGAGTTTGTTTGGTTTGAATGCCACCCTAATTCCTGCTTTATTGAGAATCCTACGTAAGGCCCTTAGATAAGAAGTGGGCCTCTGAAGCCCTACGTAGGAGTTAAACTCTACCACAGTGCCAAAGTGTTATACTTATAACGTACTAATTCCTACATAGCAATACGTTCATTCAACCAGATATTGACAGTTTTGTTTTTCTGTTGTACTCTCTGAAGTTTTTCTCTCTTTTATTATTTATTGTCGTTTTTATTTTCCTATGTAATGTAGGCTTTCGCTAGCAGTATTACTGGTGCACTGGCTTCACAAGCAGTTTTGGTCGGTGTAGGCGTTGGCAATTCATCAGCTACTATATTAGGAGCTACATTCACTTGGATGTTTAAAGGTTGTTTGTGGTTTTTTCTGAAATCTGCTCTTTTGTTTCATTTTGTTTTGATGAACCTTCAGCTTTTTTTAAAGATAATGAAAAATTGCTCTTACATAACCTTGAGTCTCCATTGAAGACTTTTATCCAACCTACGCAATTTGCTGGCGTACATTTGATATCCGGCTGACTTGTGGTGTGTATACTGCTCAGCAGTTCGCCCTATCCTCCTTTATGGCTGGCTGGCTATGAGACATGGTTATTGGAAGTGGAAGACATGAAAAGACAGACTGGCTCTCTTTGATCACACATTTCTGTGTCCTAGCTCCCGTGTTGAGTGGTAGAATAAAGTGAGTAATACTGAGATGAGGCCTCGTTCGATTGAGTGCTAGGTAAGTGGGAGAGGAAATCAATCGATGAGGTTGTGAAGCAGCTGCATCGATTCACATGGATAGTACATATGTTACCAATACATCCCTAGCCATCCTCGACAGTAGGCAATGTTACCTGACTGACATAGGATTGGACAGGTTGGAAGAAAGGAGCGGGTGATGGTCAAAGGAAAACATGTCTTCATCAATGAATGAAACCCACAATAGTTAATTTAAGCCAGCCAGCCAGCCACGTAGAGAGGTGTAGACTGGCTTGCTGGTTGGGATGGTAGAGCTTTGCACAGATGTCCACCAGTTCGAGTCGCCACACTCCCTCCATGTTGTACTCAAAGCCAGACAAGAGAGCAGAGAAAGATGCATAGCAGAGATAACAAATAGAAATATGAGGCAAAAGGAATAGTAATATGGAAGAACAATAGAGTTTTACTGGATATTATGAATTCCAAGGAGTGGATGCATCTACGCCAGCCATTGACAACGACGATTTTAAACCATATCACCGATTGTTTCCATCCCCACCAGGAAGCCAGCCTGTGGTGAGAGCTGTCTACTAGCCATATTGGTAGACAGTAATTTACGTCAATATTTATGTCCCAAATATTGGTCATGTGAAAACAAGAACAAAGACTGACTCAACAACCAATCACAACAGGCTTTGCGTAGGCGGATACAATTAGCATATAGATGATCTGACATTCGAAAAATAGCCACAAAGAGATGAAAGATTAACTTTCAGTGAGAAACCACCAGTTAGGAGGCTGTGTTTGTCTGCTAACAATAATCTATAATAATGTACATGAAAATCTACAAGTATGTGTTGATTTCCTTAATAAACGATCTGTTGACTGCCCTTGTCTTTCGTTGTTACAAGTCTACACCTCTCTAAGTGGCTGGTTTAAACTAGCTGTTGTGGATTTCATTGACTGATGAATCCATGTGTCTCTTTGACCACCACTAGCTCTTTTTTTCCACACTGTCTCAATCCTATGTCAGTCAGTGAATAGTGCCTGTTGTCGAGGTAGGCGGTGGCTAGGCATGCGTAATATGTGTAATACATGTACTAACTATCTCACAACCTCGTCGACTGATCCCTTCCCCCCCTCCCAACTACCTAACACTCACTCGACCTATTATTATCATCATTTTATTGAGGCTTACCTTAATATTGTTCACCTTATGATACCATTTGGTGTGTCGGTGGCACAGCGGTTAGGACGCTCGCCGACCATGCACATAGTCCGGGGTTCGATCCCCGGCTACAGACGCACTCATCTACCTCGATAAGCTAGAAATAATGCTGGTAAAGAGCAAAGGTTGGGCATGAGGTTAGCAACCCCATCCTGTAAAAATATACACTGCCACAGAAACTTCAAACCACTAGCTTGAAGCCCTATGTTCCACTGGGAACTTGAAGGAAAAAAAATTATGATACCATTTGACATGGGAGATTGAACGCAGACAAATATGAATCTGTTGAATATATATATTTGAAGGTATTCTAATGAATTCTCCTCCCTCTCTCCCGTTTTCTTTTTTTAGATGGTGCAGGAATGATTGGTCGAATTGTCTTTGCTGGTTATCAAGGGTAATAAAATTCAAATTTTTATCGATTATCTATCGATTGTGTTTTCATTTCTTTTTCTCTCTCTCTCTCTGTTTATAGAAGTAACCTAGACTGTGATTGTAAATTTTGGCGGTAAGTAATGCTTGTATTATTATTATTTGTCTTTCTATTGATTTAATTACTAAATCTATTGTTGGGATAAATTTATTTTAATTTATGTATTCACTTATTTATTACCTCGATTTATTATTCTTAGTGGAGGTGGTCAATAATACCACATTCGGTTAGTTTTAAATCATGAAGTCCTGTAACCAATCAATCAAATCCCTACAAATCAATACTTAAATATCAATGAGATGCTTACTAGTATGTGGCCTTTTTCAGGTAGGCTCTAGTGGGAAGTGGTGACCAGTAGGGTACAGCAGGGCGAGCGTGAGGACAAACACTCGCCAAAGGCATTGGCTAATGGTCTCGCTATTTCGTGAATTGGCAGAAGTTGGAATTCACGGGATGGCCATTGGATTCGGTTCCATTAGCTTAATGGTCTGCGAGTTCGCTCTCTTTGTAACCAGAAGGTCCTAGATCCGAACCCCAGTGGCGTGGGTGCCTATTGATGAAGAGTCCCAAACTAGGCTGACGAAACAGTTGTCCAGTACTTCTTGCGAGTTTTCCAATCGGGTTTTCTAACCGATGCTAGTTCATGATGAAGTCCTGTAATTATTATTATTATTGTTCCCTTGGGTTCCTAGTGGAACATAGGCTTCAACTGCACGTTTCCACTTGCCACTTCTGTCTTCTGCTGCTGTACTTTTCACCTGCATCCATCCATGTTAGTTCATCCTTTTTCAACTCCTCTTCACACGATCTCCTCCATGTCACCCTTGCACTGATGACCCACTCGCCGCTTCCCTTTCGGCCTGGTTCCACTCGAGCAATGGCCTCACGCGCGCACGATGTCACCCAGCGGTGGCCTCCTCAGCCAGTGAGTGTCCAATCCATCTCCACTTTCTCCTGCATATTTGTTGGTTGGCGATTGGTTCTTGTTTTGTTTGTTTGTTTGTTCCCATAGTTTCTTGTTAGTGGTGATTCTTTCCGGCCCGGCCATCTGATTTTCAGTATAGATCAAGCGGAGACAGTTGTTGATAAAGGTCTGCAATAGCCTGTTGGTTGGAAATATTCTTTGTGACCCCCCCCCCCCGCCAAGTTTCTGATCCGTATAGAAGAGCTGACTGACTTGACGTTTGTATTGAAAATCCGACCAAATTTTGTTGTTGATGCTGAGTGACGAAGATTGGTTTTTGGTTGATGATGTTGATGTGTTTCTCGCCTTCCCGATTCTCGCTCGACTTGATATCCTCCTCCGTTCCGATTGCCTGTAGTTGAGACAACGCTCCCAGGATAAGCGAAGTGAATGAAGCAACCTCTTTCAAATCCCTCCCGTTGATGGTGATTGGCACTGGATGTTGCTGCTGTTGTTGTTTTTGGTTGGTTGGTTGGTTATTTTCATAACCTCCATCTTGTCTATGTCCACCTGGAGTCCTGTCTTTGCCGGCTGCTTCTTCGACCAGTTTATCGGTTTTCGCTTGTAAGTCTTCGATTTTGTGTAACATCAAACATAAATAATCCACGCGCAAAATCCAGGTCTTCTAGGTTCTTCATGTCGGTCGGTCCAGGATATCCCTGTCTTCTCGTTTCCCACTCACTGTCTGACGCATAATCCAGTCAGTCCACCACAATTAAGGATATCATCGTGGGTGATAATAAGCACCCTTGTCTGACTCCTGTGATTGCAACAAACGCCTAGCTGAGTTTTCCGTTGTGGATCAGTTGACATGTTCCGTTGTCGTACAGTTGTTGGATAAGGTTGGTGAATATTTGGGCACTGTACGCCGTGGTACTCGAGTAGTTTTCAAATTACTTCACGGTCAACGCTGTAATAAATCATATTTAATAAATCGAATAAGTTCCTTTCCATGAAATAATTTCTTGATTGCTTATTTTTGGTGGTGGCTAGCTTTAGAATATATCAGGCTTGTATCTGTGGTTTCAAACGTTAAAGAGTCATGCAAGCGCGTCCTAGAATCTACTGCTACAAAGACTGAGATGGTTAGGACATGTGTTACGTATGTCAAGCCATCGCCTCCCTCGACGAGCAATGTTAGCGGACATAGGGTCAGGCTGGAAAAAAGCTAGCGGCGGTCAAACAAAAACATGGCTTCACCAGTCAATGAAATCCACAACAGTTGGTCTAAGCCACGTAGGAAGGTGTAGACTTCCAGGCTGGGGTCCTCGGGACGGTAAAAATCTATGGTTGGAAACAATTGGTGACATGGCTCAAAATCGTTCTCAGTGACAGTGCAGATGCATCCACTCCTTGTGACGTATGATCTCCAATGAAACTGTTTTGTTTTTCCTTATTACTCCTTTGTCTCACATCTCTGCTCACTGTTTCTATTATGCTTTCTTGTACTTTCTTCTCTTGCTTCGCGTGCTACACGGAATGTGGCGACTTGAACTGGCGCACATTTGTGCAAAGTTCTATGTCGAAAACAGACAGACAGACAGAATCTACTGCTAGGCACCATAAATCAAGTAACTTCGAGACGTCTATATGTGGCCGATCACAATTCAGTCTGTATGTATTAATCAAAGTCATGAATAAATGATTCCTAGGGATTTGATTGGTTTCAGTTTTTATCACGGATTGATATGAGTGTTAGAGAAACATTGGGAGTCATCCAGGCTGTATCGAACAGCAATTTCAACTCCTATTCTTGGGAGTCTTTAGTAGTACGTAATCATGACCCCCACCGCCTGCGACTGAACCCAGGTTACACGATGAGTGGAGTTAGGATCTATCCCAGATATTGAATGGTCGACGAGCTCGCCTTAGAATTGGAAGGTCCTAGGTTTTATCCCCGGTAGGGTCATTGTTACGTACTAATGAAGAGTCCCGAGTTAGGACGAAACATTTGTCTAGTACTCTTTGTTGATTTTTAATAGTTCTCTAATTGGTGATATCAATCTGTGATGAAACTTGATTTCTTCATTGTTTTTATTTGGTTATCATCCGGAAGTCAGTGAAATGGTAACAACGACAATAAGAACACCTTAATAGACCTAATCAGATGTATATAGAATACGAATTCTTTGAATAACACGTATAAATTTAACTTTTATGAATTCACTAAATAATCTAGTCTATAGGAGTAAATTATCACTATGGCTTGATGCAGATTTCGTGGTTAGCCGTAAGATTTTAGTTGAATACTGAGTACTTACTAGTACTGCGTCTACTTATCAGTCTGTATGAAAAAGAAAATAGCCTGGTGTGTAAAACTTGGACACTGTGGTGGTATTAGTATGTAATTCCATATTAATTTGTTTATTAGATATATCACACACAGTGTGAAACAGTGTTATTGACTGGATGACACAATTTCGAGCACAATTGATTATTGTTCATAATTATATCATCAATTATAATCACACAACTTGGAAACTTGAGTTTTATAGTTTTCTTTGTTCTCTCCTATTCGTCGTTGTGGAGGTTGTATGATTTTCCAGATGTCCGAGTGGACAGGCGTTGAATCATTCCTACTACACGTATGCTCAACCAGTTGATTCGATTAACAAAGCTTCCGCTGTTATCAATCTCTCCCTCCACTTAGCTGTTACATTAGATTTTAAAACTGTCATCCTATCCCATCCCATCCTATTGTATGGTTGTGTGTAATTGCATGTAGTGAGTGCTATAGCTGGACTATTCTCTCGATTTCTTATTTTATTCGGGTCAACTAATCTAGATTTTGCTAGGTTTCTATGTTCCGCTAGTCTGACTGACCCTGTTCTACTACTTTGACCTATGTATTTGACCTGACGATCATTGCAGACAGGGTATTAGATAAACTAAATTGTTTTGTTTAACTGACTCCACTGACAGGATGCTTCAACCGACGAAGTTTGTTTCTAAGTAAGTTTGTGGGTGGTTCGAATGCCAGCCACTTTCATTCCTGCCTGCATTGTTAAGAATTCCCCGCCGTAAAATGGTTTCTGAGATTCCTTCTTTAGTATTGGAAGTACTAACTTTTGTTTTGTAAGCGGTTTATCGCAGAAAGTAAAATCAAGAGAGAAGCTTTAAAGAAATATTCTGCTTATCTCCTTTTGATATTTTTTTAAAAATTCCTTTTTTTTGTTTCCATTAGATTTATTGCTGATATCTTAAACGACTGTGCTCTATTCCTTGAATTAATCTCACCGTTGTCGGATTATATGTTTACACCGATACTTTGTCTGGCGAATATACTTAAGGTAAGTGTCATTTCTTTATCCTTTTATGTTTATATATTATTTTCTACACAATCGAAAACCAGACAGGCTTTAGACCAGGAAGAGGGTGTATTGATCATATCTTCACCCTTTGATAGATTCTGGAACATAGGCATACTTACCGCCAGCGTCCAACAGTCGTTATATTTATTGATCTAAAGGCGGTATTCGGTTCTGTCGACCGAAGGGGGTACTACGTCGATGTTTGGCTGTGAAGGAAATGCCGAGCAAATACATTGCACTGATCGAGGTACTCTACTTGAACTCATGCAGCCAGCTGGGTAGGAGCTTACGGGCGAGTTGTCATCTGAAGTGATGACAGCTAGTGGTTAGGTTAGGTTAGTGGTTATATATATATATATATATATATATATATATATATATAATAACGGTTCAGTAACCATTCTTCTAAACATTTTAATGGGTTTATTTATTATTTTATTTAAACGCATAAAAACTTGATACAATATGGCACCAAGAAGAATGCGCCACACAATAATAATAAAACAACATAGATCAAAAGAAAAAAAGAAGAGAAAAAATATGTATATAAGTAGAGGACGGATAAAGAACTTCATCTGAAAGGAAGACAGTCGTGCTTAACAAGTTCAAACAGTGTTCGTTAACTGTCATCTGGAAGGGAAGAAAATTGCAACACGTTCGCCATTGATTACGATTCTTGCCATATCTGAAACGTTTCGAGCCATCGATTCGAGCTGTCTTTTGGACCCCAACCAGGGAGTCGTGACACACCAGCCGATGCTAATCTAGCCAAAAATCCTTCACCCCACGACGCCACGTCATGGATTGACCACCTCTCCGCCTTTTCCATCCCGTCCCAGGGCTGGCTAGCGAACAAAGACCTTTACGGAAGCCTCTGGCATGACATTCGCAGCACAATTTCAAGCCACCGGAGTCGGTGTTTCCAGATGACAACACTCAATGAATGGTGTTCTCCACTGTGACCAAACACACGCCGCGGAACCTCAGAATTACTCAGGCGATGATGCCATCGAACGCAAAAATCCTGCGGAGACAGCGATGATCGAACATTCTCAGATCGGAGCGGCCAGGCTTCACAGGCGTAGAGCAGGGCAGCTCGCACCGAGGCATTGTATACCCGACCTTTGACAGCCAGGCTAACATCGCGACGGCGCCATAGGTGGCTCAAGTTGGTATATGCCACCCCTCCGCCAGCACTCACACAACTATCCAGGTACACAAACTTATCAACAACTTCAAGCGGTTCATCTGCAGCAACAGTGAGTGCAGGTACATGCTCCTGCCAATCTTGTAACAGTATTTTGCACTTAGACGGCGCAAAGCACATACCATACTTATAGACACTGATCGCCAACTGATTAAGTGCGATTTGGGCAGCCTGCATGCTATCACACTGTAAGACGATATCATCTGCATACTCGAGGTCGTAGAGTATATCTCCAGAGAGCAGATCTATACCACCTTCACGCACATCCTTCAGACCTGACTCCAGAATGTCATCAATGGCAAAGTTAAAGAGAAATGGAGAGATTGGGCAACCCTGTCTAACCCCACTGTTGGTTGGGAACAGTATTGGTAGTTGGTTGTATGCCCTCACTCTACCTGAGGTGTTTCTGTATAGGGCTTTCAAGATGTTAACAAATTTCTCAGGTACACCTCTCTCTCTAACAGATAGTTCCAGAGCACAGTTCCGTCCAACGAATTGAAGGAAGCCCTAATATCAAGAAACACAACGATCGTTGGCCTGCAATGCATGTGGCGGTGTTCCAACAACTGACGAAGGGTGAACACATGATCAGTGCATCCACGACCTGAACGAAACCCAGCCTGCTCTTCACGAATCAATCCCTCACGTATTTTACACAACCTGGGAAGCAAGACGCTAGCCAATATTTTAGACGCGACTGGTAATAGACTGATACCCCTATGATTGTCACACTAATTACGTCGACCCTTTTTAAAGATGGGGACGATAATGGCTTCGTTCCACATTGATGGTACACTCTCAGTCTCCAACACCTTCCTGAATAATCCAGTTAAGGCCATTACAATAGCCCCCACCATCTTTAAAAAGAGCCGGGGCTAAATTGTCTGGGCCGGGCGCCTTATGGCGTTTCAACACTTGGAGTTCCTTACGGACCTCCGCTTCGGTGGGTGGGTCAATACTAACCGACCAAGGAGCACTGGGGCTAATGACAGTCGACACTGAAGCTGGTGGCCAGCTAAACTGTTTCCCGGAGTGTTCTGCCCAGCGTTCCAGGCGTCTATTCAAGCTGGTAATTGGTGTGCCATCTGCCTCACAGACCATCTCGCTGACACCTTGTTTCTTGCTTCCGGTGGCTCGTATGAGTTGGAACAGCTTCCGACTGTTGCCAGATGCAGTAGCTGACTCCATCTCACACGCACGTTCTGACCACCAGGCTTCGCGGTCCCTACGTAAACACTGTCTAGTCTTGCGCACAAACCCAGTGGTTTTTAGCGGAGCATTCTTTCAAGCCGCAGGCGGCTATACTCGCCTTTTGCATGGCACCTTGCACATGAAGCCAATGTTCATCTATACTACTTGGGGGGGGGGTTGCTGGCAAGCATTGATTGTAACTCATTCTGATATTTCAAAGAAGTAGCAGGTGCTACTAGTTTACTCACATCAACGTTTAGACGACGGCTTTTATGAACCCCACCAAATCGCAAGGCGAACTTGGCACACACTAACGCATGTTCGGAGTCCAGACATGTGCTCCAGAAGGAGCGACAGTCTTGTATGCATCCTCGCCACCGGAAACTGACAGCGATATGATCAATCTGAGTGCAAGCTTGATTCACAGAGAGAGGACGCCAGTTGGCGCTACGGCAATGGCTGTGACAGAAGATGGTGCTGGCTGGGAATAGGTTATAATCTCCGCAAAGCTGCAGAAGACGGTCCCCATTATCTGACCCACGACAATGTAGGCCCCAGCCTAGACGATTCTCCTCTGAGCTTAGACGCCCGACCTGTGCATTCAAGTCCCCAGCGAGCACTACGACATCCCTCCGACCCCCCTGTTTCAAGAGATCGCTCAGTTGGTAGTAGAACTCATCCTTCATTGCATCCGGGCTGCAATCCGTCGGTGCATTGGCAGAGACAACAAATAGACACCGCCTATCTGGCCTACTACTCCTTACTTTCGAATAACGTCTCAGCCTCACAGCACATAAACGACTGTTAATAGGAATCCAGTCGAGCAATACAGCTTCGGCTCTAGCGCTCAGTGCGACACCGACACCAGCTACGCTGGATGCCGACGCCACAGGGTCCCCGGATAAGCGCAGGTGGTACATACTGTTAGAACTTCCAGATGGAGAGGATAGTCGAAGCACTTCACTGGGATCTTCAATGCGGGTCTCCAAAATGTAGCAGACATCGATAGGGAGGCTTCCCAAAGTTCTTACCCACTTTGCCTGTTGTCCTATTTGCATCAGCGTCCGAACATTGTAGGTGGCCAGCTTGAACGTGGCACGCGGTTTCAGGATATCTGTGTTAGATGTCACATTGGGGACAACCATTTTGAGGGTTACTCACTAACATCTCGAAACGACACAGATAGGCTGGGAATCTAGACAAAGGCGAAAGACTGTCGAAGGTTAAGAAGTCAAGTTTAGCAAAGGTAAAATACAGGAAACTATGTATAAAATAAAAGTAAGGTTGGAAGGACATAAGTTTTTTGAGGGATCATTACTGCTTGAAATCATTTTTACTACCGCGTGATGAATTTCAATGACAGTTTGTTGTTTTACTTCATTTGTTGTGTGGGGGTGAGATACTGCCCGGGCGCCCAGACCGAAGCAGGTGGTTTTATTAAGGACCACCCCCGAGCCTTTGACTTGGAGTCTAATCCGCAAGGCAGCGGAGCAGCGTCAGGAGCTGCATTCCCATGGTTGTCGGTGACCCATATGGGTTCATACGCCATTTGATCCGATAGGATACTGGAGCCTGTGTACCCCATGGTAACTGCTTTTACTTTAATCGCTATCCAAACAACCTTCCTGACATGGTAGGACCTGCAGGGACATGAGTCCCAGTTAGTTGAGTCATTGCGGTATTCAAGCCCGACCACCACGGTAAGGTAGCAGTTATCGGCCCATTTTAATGGGTACTTTTAATCCGTTAAGCTATCGAAGCTGGCGTCGCTATATCGCATGAATTGACAGAATTTAGAATTCTGAAGTCACTGAATTCCAATCCACTTGTTTAGTTCAATGATAAACAAACCCGCTTCGTTTTGGGTTCGATTCCCAGCGGGTTTATGCGTACACATGGCTAAAAAGCCCCGAATAGTGGGACAGAAAAATTGTCAAGTGTCTCCTTGGTTTACAATCAAATCCCTACAAACTGACACTTAGAAAAAAACACAACTAAAGACTATAGGACAGTTGTTTTGTTATAACTTTGGATATCTATGAGGAATCCGACTCAACTTAGCCAGTTGATATCTACTTGTGATGAGAACTACCTCAGTTATAACCTCAGTGTTAGGCTGAATAGATGGCTGACGGTTGTGGTTCATTCACGTACGGGGTGGGGGGAGTTCACATCCAGTTCCACCTACGGACATTTGGGTAGCCAGATAGCTGTACTACCCCTCACCTAATAGGTGTACCTTATTGACAATTAACTGCATTTTAATGAAAGGGATTGCTGAGCAACATAACTTGTCATACTCAATGATGATAAACTTATATGACTGTCACTCTTAGGTGAGTGGGTTAATCACTCACTTATTTAGCATTATTATGACCAGAACTACAACTTCCTAGACTATAAGAGAATACTAACTTAATGCGATTGCTAATCTGTCCTAACCACACGTCAACAACGACAATAATCATACCGCCTCGTTGCAGAAAGATAGAAGAGAAGACTGGACGTTGGTAAGATAACTTTCGCCGTCTCAAAACAACAGTCAAACATGGTTGACAGCGCTTGTGTGTACATATACATGTCTAAACTAACCTTGAGACGCACTAATGTCATTGACCAAATAAGACAATGAACAACCAACAGGATTTTAAAGGTCATAAAAAGAGTGGGAGAAATACAAATATACATGTAGAAATGACGTGTAGAAAATTAGCTCATATATCAAAAATTATATGAGTGTTGATTTTTAAGTTTGCCCTGCCTTAGTGTCTAAAAATCAACTTCACTAAGCATAAAAGACACGACTTGGATTTGCAATATCAATGTCAAGTTAATTCCTCTCCTTCTTTATGGTTCAGCCGTTTGGTGTGTCACCAAAAGCTTTTTCCAACAGCCGACTGTAGACTTTTATCCTTATCCTTCTATGGCTTCATACTGAAGACGAAGTGTACAGTTAGAAAGGATAAGCAACAAGAAATCGTGAGAACGAATCAATTAACAACTTACTGTCCAACAAACCCTCTAGAAAAAATGGAGATAGATCAGACACTCTGTGGAGACCATTGGGCGACATCGCGTACCAGGCCATTGCACAAGTGTAACCCGAATGGGTGTAGGTCCGAGGGTGACATGGAGTAGATCGTATGAGTAGGCGATGCTAGCTTTTGGGCAATCGTGAACCTCCAAAGCCTCAGGATGGTCGGGGGTGGGTGCCTTGCGCTGCGGGTTGGCCACCCCTCCGCACACCTTTTGAAATGCTCCCATATGACCGGGCGTCTTACATAGCCTCTCCTGAGGAAGTCCTACTCACTGCCTTCACGTGGCGGAGGTGTTTCTCACCAAAGTGAGAGGGCGAAAGCGGATGCCCGGCGCTCTCCACCGGGTTGACTGTCCATTGGATGACGGTCTAGGGGAGATGGCTAAACCCTGATTCCAAACCTCCAACGACTGGCGTATGAAGCTCACTGGAGCTCACCGGCAGACGTATGGACAAAGGGCTTGTTGGATGTCCTGGATGTCTGGCCCCATTCAAAAAGGCGTATGAACCGAACTCCAGTCACCGGCTGCCAATGGATAGTGGACTCCTTACTCCACTCCTACTGCCTTGTAGGTCACACTTGGCTGTGTAAAGGCTAGAGCTGCACTCTCAAACAAAAGGCCGAGCGATTCTGGGGACATCACTCGTACCAAATTCCCATGAAACTTCATGAACTCTCTTACAAATTGCCGCGCCTGAGCAGCGATGATTCGAGACGTTCATGAAGCCGGCTCATCCTCCCGTAGGAGATAGCCGAAGTAAAGTAAGTAGTAATCGTGAACCCAGCTAAAGAGAACCACCACCGTCCTGAGGATGGTAAAAACCAATGGCTAGTGACAATCAGTGATATGGCTGGCTCAAAATCGTTCTCAATGGCTGGCCTGGCGCAGATGTATCCACTCATTGTGACTTATAATACCCAATCAAACTATATTGTTCTTCGTTATTACTATTCCTTTTGTCTCATATCCGTGTCTACTGTCTCTATTTTTGCATTTCTTCTCTTGCTTTGTGTGCTACATGGAGTAGAGTGTGGCGACTTGAACTTGCTGTGCACATTAGTGCAAAGTTTTATGTTGAAAACAGACAGACAGACAGACATAGGATAAAATGATTATGTGATGTTGAAGCCTTGTTGAAGCCTTCACTCGAGACCCAAGGGGGTAATAACAACAGTATATAATAATATCTTATGATCGACAATCAAAGGAGTACAATCAATATTCTTTATTCATAAAATGTATTAATATGCTGTGTGTGTGTTATATTTCACTATCAAGCAGTCCACTTGTCTTGCTTGTTTTTTTTTCTTCTTCGAAAACCATTTTCTCTTCTCATTTTTTCGTTGTTTTCTTTTCTTTCCTATGAAAGTCATTGGTTGGAGTTGCTGGTAGTGCAACACGTGCTGCTATTGTACAACATCAAGCTATTGATAATAATCTAGCGGATGTATCAGCTAAAGATGGAAGTCAAGTAGGTTTATTCTTCTTTTTGGGCATATTTCTCTTTGTTTGTTTTGTTTATCTACATGAATCTGAAACCAAAGCAACCCAAGTTACCAACAGTTTCAAAAAGGGCCTTATTCTTACAGATGCAATTCCTTGGGGACAATACCAATGAGATACTAAAACAGTGCCTTAGAAATGCGATAAAAAGAGCATTCCTTGCTGCGTGTTGTATCTTTAAAACCACTTCTCTTCTGCGTTCAGGAGTAAAAGACAAACTGCCTAATTTCGCCTCTTCCATGTGTGTATCTATCAATTTAACTGCTCCTGTGGGTGAGCCAGTTAGTTGCATAGGCCGTACAATTAGGCGTGTTTCTTGTCGAATTTTCGAACATCACCACCCTGTGTGGTTAAGTAAAGGGCAAACGAAATCTATTCCCTGCACTATTCTATCTCATTCATCTTATGGATACAGAACACAAGATTGACGTTAACCATGCTTTCAGGGTCATTTACGAATCTCAATTTTGTCTTAAGAGTTCGACTACTAAATATTGCTGAGGCTGGCTGTTGGGATCCTATATTAACAAGCTTAATTTATGTGTTCAAATGAAGCTAGTTCAGACATTATCCTTACCTTGGCCATCCAGGTTTGAATAATCCTAAATTTTTGTGGAATTTCCCTAATTTTAGTTGATATTCTATTCGCTACAATATCTTTATTACTATTATAATTTAAGCATCTTTAATGAACTGTAATTCCATTGAACTTTACATATCGATATTATTTGAAAAAACACTAATATTGTTATTAACTACCAATCTAGAATACTCTGTGTATATAAACATATATATATATATATATATATATATATTTATATATTTATATATATATATAATTGTAGAGCCGGAAGAGGAATTTATCGAAAAGAATATTCTTTGCTCGATTATTTTGTGTTTTATAGATGTCTGAATGAATATTTTTCCTGTGTTTTGTTTATGTACATAAACATCTGTGGTCCAGTGGTGTAAAATGGTCGTCAAACATGCATGTGCTTTGGATTCGACTCCCGACCAACACACTCCTAATAAACCTCGCTCACCCAGGTAGTAAAACCGGTATAGTCCCTATAAACAACTTGATACGGCTGTGAAAGTGGATAGACTTCGGTCCTCCTTTCAATATGCTCTCATGTGGCTACGCTTTCCTAGCTTTTTTCTATCGATTTCCTGTTCATTGTCTTCACCCGACGGGGACGTTTCTTACAAAAGTTAACAGGTGACTGAAAACGTCTTGTGCTCAAAACTGAACTGGTGAACATGCTGATCTACCTAGAGGATCCGGATAATCCTGATTCCAAACCCAGAATCCGAAAGTATCGGATAATATATAAACCTGTTTTGGTCACTAGGATCCATAGAAACTTAGCGCCATTGCCTTGTAGATCAAAATTCAAGTCAAAGGCTAGGAGGCCTGTAGATGGCTCCTTAAGACAACCACCTGCCGTGTGTCTAGTCCTTGAACAAATTTCAAGATTTTGTGTGGAGCATCTCTTGGCGTCGATAAAGTACCAAGTTTATGTTTTTATTAGTAGTGACTAACTGACTGGTCACAACTTAGAACTTTGCACAGAAGTACGCCAGTTCGAGTTGCCACACTCCATGCAGCACACAAAGCAAGAGAAGAGAGAAATGAGAGACTGAAAAGAGAGATAATAAACAAAAGTGTGAGTAAGGGAAAAAGAATAGTAATCTGGAAGAACAACACAGTTTTATTGAATATCATGAATCACAGGGAATGCATCTGCGCCAGCCATTGAAAGCAGTCACTTTGAGCCATATCATCAATTGTCTCTCTCCAGCCATTGGTTTTTATCGTCCCAAGGACCCCAACCAGTAAGTTTGCACCTGCCTGTGGATTTCATTGAGTGATGATGCCATGTTTTCGTTTAACCATCATTCGCTCTCTCTTTTCCAACCTGATGGTTGGCTAAGGATGCATACGTAACACATGTCCTAACCATCTCAGTCGATGTAACTTCACAGCCTCGTCAATCGATTTCATCTCCTTATCTACCACTCACTCGAATGAGGCCTCATCTCAATATTACTCACCCTATTATACCACTTCACACGGGAGATAGCACGGAGACACCCATGATCGAAGACAGCTGTCTGTCTGTCTGTCTGTTTTCGACATAGAACTTTGCACAAATGTGCGGCAGTTCAAGTCGCCACACTCCGTGTAGCACGCGAAGACAGCTAGGCGGGATTTTCATCTCTTCCACTCTCAGTGGCCAGGTCTCACAGCCATAAAGAAGGACGGAGCGGACTGCTGGGCAGTACACACGTCCTTTGATCGATACCCAGCCGGATATCATGTCTACACCAGAGACGGCGTAAACTGGCATATGTGGGACGATAAGCCTTCTATATCCTTGCTGAGATTTCTTCAGCGATCACCCCTTTGGGGCTGAGACAAATACTCTCCTCTGTCACTGCCTGGCGTTCACGCTACTTACAAATTGCTAATTGCTAGAATTTGGAATTGATGAACCGAGTAGTCAACGAGCCTACCTCGTAACATGAAGATCTGGTGTTCGATCCGTTGTATTGGGGTCAAAGTGGACAAAGCAGCAGTTCAGTATACCTTACTGGTTTTCAATACCTCTCCAGTAGGTGTATCAGTTCACGATCAGTCTTGAAATCCCCTCACACAAACTCTTGACAAGTTTATAGATCTAATTTCCCAACTGGTTGACTGCATTTATTTCTCCTCATCACAGTTATTTGTGTTTTGCATGTTTGGTGGTATATAAAAGTCACATAGAAATAAGTGAAGTGTAACGGTAAACGACAAGATACTTGCTAACGGAATGTTTATTTGAAATTTAATATCTCTGTATAGGGGAATTATGTACACCTTATCTGAAAATCGTTATTTGCTGCACAGATCTTCTGTTTTGTGCTACTCCTATCCGTAGTATTTTCTTTCCTTTTCGATCCTTTTGATGTCTCCCATGTTTTGCCGAGACACTGCTTCATTTGTTCTCTCTCATGTCAAATCTGTCTCTTCACAATTTGATTTTTAGTGGCGACGAACTTCTGTTTACACACAAACACGAGAGAGCCAGGCAGGCTTTAGACCAGGAAGAGGGTGTATTGATCATATCTTCACCCTCCGACAGATTCTAGAACATAGGGATTCCTACCGGCGTCCAACAGTCATTATATTTCTTGACCTAAAGGCAGCTTTCGACTCTGTCGATCGGGAAGTTCTCTGGAGATGCTTGGCTGTAAAGGGAATTCCAAGAAAATATATTGCACTGATCAAGGCCATCACTGTACTCGTACAGCCAGGTGAGGGCTTACGGCTGGCTGTCATCTGAACTGGTGACGACTAGTGGAGTCCGTCAAGGATGCCCATTATCCCCTTTTCTATTCAACTTCATCATAGATGTGTTAATGAACTTAACCCTAGGTGACTTCAGCGACTCAAAGACTGACTTGCTACCGGGGAATAATCTCGTTGACTTGGAATATGCAGACGATATAGTCCTTCTAGGCGAAGACGCTGACGAAATGCAGAGTCTTCTAAACACCTTGAGCCGCAATCTACGAATGTTTGGCATGCGATTCGCTTCCGCCAAATGCAAGATGATGTAACAGGACTGGACTACGTCGACGCCTAGTTTAAAAATAGGAAGTGAAGTGGTAGAGCACGTTGACCGCTTCACTTATTTGGGAAGTACCATCAGCCCCAACGGGCTGATCTCTGACGAAATCTCAGCACGAATACAAGGGGCTCGTTTCGCATTTGTTAGTTTACGCCGACTCTGGCGTAGACGAGATGTTCGACTATCGACCAAAGGGCGGGTGTACTGCTCATCAGTCCGCTCCGTCCTCCTTTATGGCTGTGAGTGAGACCTGGCCACTGAGAGTGGAAGACATGAAAAGCCTGGCTAGCTGTCTTTGATCATAGGTGCCTGCGTTCTATTTCCCGTGTAAAGTGGCATAATAAGGTGAGCAACATGGAGGTGAGGCGTAGAGTTCTAGGTAAACAGGGTAAATCAATCGACCAAGTCGTGAAGTTACATCGACTGAGTGAGATGGTTAGGACATGTGTTACGTATGCCAAGTCATCGCCTCCCTCGACGAGCAATGTTAGCGGATATAGGGTCAGGCTGGAAAAAAGCTAGCGGCGGTCAAACAAAAACATGGCTTCACCAGTCAATGAAATCCACAACAGTTGGTCTAAGCCACGTAGATAGGTGTAGACTTCCAGGCTGGTTGGGGTCCTCGGGACGGTAAAAATCTATGGTTGGAAACAATTGGTGACATGGCTCAAAATCGTCCTCAGTGACAGCGCAGATGCATCCACTCCTTGTGACTTAAGATCTCCAATGAAACTGTTTTGTTCTTCGTTATTACTCCCCCTTTGTCTCACACTTCTGCTCACTGTTTCTATTATGCTTTTCTTGTACTTTCTTCTCTTGCTTCGCGTGCTACACGGAATGTGGCGACTTGAACTTTCGCACATTTGTGCAAAGTTCTATGTCGAAAACAGACAGACAGACAGACAAGATACTTGCTAACGGAATGTTTATTTGAAATTTAATATCTCTGTATAGGGGAATTATGTACACCTTATCTGAAAATCGTTATTTGCTGCACAGATCTTCTGTTTTGTGCTACTCCTATCCGTAGTATTTTCTTTCCTTTTCGATCCTTTTGATGTCTCCCATGTTTTGCCGAGACACTGCTTCATTTGTTCTCTCTCATGTCAAATCTGTCACTTCACAATTTGATTTTTAGTGGCGACGAACTTCTGTTTACACACTACTTATATAAATTTTATCGACAGCACGCGCTACAGAAATTCCTGATCAAATTGTATTCGATAAACTATTCCTATTTCAATAAAGATGTTGTCTGGTTGATGGTAACTAGCAGTGGTGGAATCCAGCACGTGTGTTTCATCCTACTTGGGACTTGTCAACTGGCTACGTTTGCATTAGCAATGACTAATAATGTTTCCAGTGAAACTCAGCGCCCAGCAGCCACCGTTTTAAAGGAAAAAGTGTTGTCCGCCAGCCCAGTGGATTGATATGCTCAGTTATATTGATAGAAGTCGAGATCTGGATACTTCAACCGCATTTCGCTTTTCTCACAAATCAAGTATAATGCTATTTGTAGAAAATAGTAGAGACATTTTCATATTCCATGTAGAGCAACACCAAATTTCATTGTATTTCCTAATGTGTCAACTTTTCACTCTTTTTTAGGAAACTTTGTCTAATTTAATGGCATGGTTCCTGAATTTCATCCTTCTATACTTAGTGACGGGTAATCAATTGTAAGTTATTTTAGTCTAAGTATTACTCGACGCTATATACTACTCATTTCAATCAATCAGTAGTTAGTATTCATCATCATCATTTTATCTTACCTACTTTCTTAATTGACATTTATGGTTAGAGATTTCATTTATCACACCTCCTACAGCACTCACACAACTACTTAAATACATGAAACTGTCGATAACTTAAAGCATTTCACCTGCAAAGGTGAATGCGGGTACAGGTTGCTGTCATTCTTCCAACAATACTTTCCATTTAGACTGTGCAAAGTACCTACCATACTTATCGACACTGATGGCTAATTGATTAAGTACGATTTGGACAGCCGGCATTTTATTATACAAGGAGACAATATCATCCGCGTACTCGTGGTTGAAAGTGCTGTCCCTCCAGGACGCAGATCTAACCCTACTGTTGATCCGAGATGGTTGTTCAATCTCTTTATTTCTCTTTAACTTTGCTATCTGTGACATTTTGGAAGGGCTAACTAATGTAGACTTACTATGATAAATTTAGTCGCAGATAACGAAAAGAATGATCCTAGAAGATGTGGATTGTGCAAATGTTTCTAAGGTTCATAAGTGAAAACTATCAAGGTTGGCAAAAGTGGTAGCGAAGGCAGGACTTCAAGTGAACATAAAGAAGACAATCGCCATCAACAGGGAGAACCTGGAGGATGTCATTTCTCACTCATCTAGGCAGTGTCGCTTAAAATACAGTCAATACGCATGAGGATGTCATAGTCAACTAGGATCGGGGATAAGATCAGAATTTTCAGCACCAGTGTCAATTCAATGCTTCTTTATAAGTCTGGAACTTGGCACAAATGCTACTGACAGACTGTAGAGTTTCATCGATTGCTGTCTCCGCTTCATACCGATGATGAGATTGATAGGTCAGAGAGAATAACCTACAAGGAACTCTTAAAATGACCAACCAAGTAGCCATTGCCCAGCAAATCCACAGATAGGAATTGAGATCGATTGGATATACACTGATAATAACACCATTTATCTACATCACTCTCCAGAATATATAAAGTGGAACCTCAATGCGAAACGAGCAACGAGTTGGTCGTCGATCCGATGGTTGTGATATGAAGGAGATTGTTTGAGGAGGAGATGATAGTTTGTGGGCGGTCGTGGGGCCAACATATGTACTGTTGAAACTCTATGTTCCACTCGGAACCTAAAGGAATATTAAAAAAGCAATAAATTCCTTTACCATGTAATACACTGAATGAAACAGAAACATCTCACTTAACCGTCAATCTGGTTCCTGCATGGTTGGCCATCAGCCTCAACTTTTGCGTGATGGTTGCTAGTGAAACTACCCCTGATTGCGTAAACCTCGGAAGTTGGAGCAGACTTATTCTAACTACCACCGGTCTAGTGATTGGTGGGAAGTCGAGCTCTTAGACCGTCACTCATTGAGTTATAGCTCCAATACACTCAACACAAATAACTACTATACGTTTTTGGTGCTATTCAATTTGAAATAAGAAATAAGAACAAATTAGTTCAGCGAAGAGTCTCTTTTCGGCGAATTCATTCTCTTAGCTGTACAGTCGCAAATATATACAATTAATTTTGTGTGTGTGTACATAAGGTTTGTCAAAATCAAAATCAAAATAATAAAGAAATTAAATTGTGTGAATAGTAATCAAAGTTGTAACTAAGTGGGGTGAAAATTGGTAAGATGTGAGTAGGGTTACGTCATCAAAATAATATAGAAATTAAAATGTGTGATTAATAATCAAAGTTGTAACTAAGTGGGGTGAAAATTCGTAAGATGTGAGTAGGGTTACGTAATATAGACATGCTTAGAAAGATTAGATGTTCGTGACTATACAGTGGATATTGAGTATAAGTATAAAACTTGGGCACTGTGGAAGAGTATAACTCCATTATGGATAACATTTTATTTTGACGAACTTTCACAGTGTGTTGTACAGTAATATTAACTGATGACCACTTTTCGAGCACAAATTATTGCCGCTCATAATCATATCAAGTCATTCTCACAACTGCAAAACAGATAATCTTCTGCTATTAATTGCAACCGCTTCAGCTACTGATAGAAGACGTAGTCGAGGTCCTCTAGATTAATTACTAGGAACGCGGTAAATAACTGAGAACACCCGATCAAGTTTTATCGGGTGTCCAGTATCTACCAAGTGGGCTAAGACTGCACTATTTACGCATTTAGTTACTCCTTTACTCAACCATACAGGTATATGTTCACACGCGCTCATGGATAAAGCCCTCTGAGTACGGCCAATGTAACTAGCTAGCTCCACATGAGCAGTTGAATTCATAGATGCACATTGATGAGGTCATCTTTGGTAATTTATCCTTGACTTGCTGTGTGACTACTGGTTTAGTTGAGAAGTTTAGTACCAGTTTAGCTGCAGGAAATGTTCTATTAAGTCGACATATTAGAATGTCAGCTGCAATTTCCCTTTTGTAACTCTTAACTCAAGATACAAAGGTTTCTTGTCTACGGTATCCACCTTTACCCTGTCTGTAGGTATTGACGTATACTTTTTTAGGAAGCTCTGGATATCCATTTTCCTGCAGTGTGAGTTCCAGTTTATGCATTTCTTCCTTAATGCATTCCCCTGAGCATATTCGTTTTATTTTGTAGCTAAGACACTTAACTAAGTTTCTTTTATGCTGAGTCGGTGTGAAACTATGGAAATGGGTGTACTGACCTGTCCAAGTTTTCTTTCTAAATAATTTCCTTTGTAGATATCCGTCTGTTTTCATGGTAAGTAGGACGTCTAGGAAAGGTAAACTGTTATTGTCTTTTTCTTCACATGTAAACTGAATAGTTGGATGAACACTATTAACAGCATACAGAAGCTCTTGTTTATTAAGATTTCTATCACAAACGATAAAGGTATCATCTACGTATCGACAATAATAGTCAAGCCCTTTAATCGTGTCTTTGAGTGGACCATTTTCAAGCTTTGCCAGGAAAATATCCGCTAGCAAAGGGCCCAGAGGTGATCTCATGGCTACCCCATCTAACTTGTCTATAAAAACCATTATTGAGCATAAACTGAACATTCATAGTGCATTTCAGTAATAATTCTTTCACTTTATCGGGTGGGATTCCTACATCTATTTTCTTTTCTATCAGCTGGTCACATATGTAGTTGACTGTTTCGAGTAGTGGAACGTTGGTGAATAATGATACTACATCCAGTGACATCATTTTCTTTCCCTTTGCATTCAGGCTTTTGGTAGTTTCTACAAAGCTGAATACGTCTTTTACACTGAATTTCACTAATTCGCGATGTAACCGTTCTAATGCCTTTACCAACCACTTTGCTGTAGAATGATAGATATGTGCATTCTATCATTCTACAGCAAAGTGGTTGGTAAAGGCATTAGAACGGTTACATCGCGAATTAGTGAAATTCAGTGTAAAAGACGTATTCAGCTTTGTAGAAACTACCAAAAGCCTGAATGCAAAGGGAAAGAAAATGATGTCACTGGATGTAGTATCATTATTCACCAACGTTCCACTACTCGAAACAGTCAACTACATATGTGACCAGCTGATAGAAAAGAAAATAGATGTAGGAATCCCACCCGATAAAGTGAAAGAATTATTACTGAAATGCACTATGAATGTTCAGTTTATGCTCAATAATGGTTTTTATAGACAAGTTAGATGGGGTAGCCATGAGATCACCTCTGGGCCCTTTGCTAGCGGATATTTTCCTGGCAAAGCTTGAAAATGGTCCACTCAAAGACACGATTAAAGGGCTTGACTATTATTGTCGATACGTAGATGATACCTTTATCGTTTGTGATAGAAATCTTAATAAACAAGAGCTTCTGTATGCTGTTAATAGTGTTCATCCAACTATTCAGTTTACATGTGAAGAAAAAGACAATAACAGTTTACCTTTCCTAGACGTCCTACTTACCATGAAAACAGACGGATATCTACAAAGGAAATTATTTAGAAAGAAAACTTGGACAGGTCAGTACACCCATTTCCATAGTTTCACACCGACTCAGCATAAAAGAAACTTAGTTAAGTGTCTTAGCTACAAAATAAAACGAATATGCTCAGGGGAATGCATTAAGGAAGAAATGCATAAACTGGAACTCACACTGCAGGAAAATGGATATCCACAGAGCTTCCTAAAAAAGTATACGTCAATACCTACAGACAGGGTAAAGGTGGATACCGTAGACAAGAAACCTTTGTATCTTGAGTTAAGAGTTACAAAAGGGAAATTGCAGCTGACATTCTAATATGTCGACTTAATAGAACATTTCCTGCAGCTAAACTGGTACTAAACTTCTCAACTAAACCAGTAGTCACACAGCAAGTCAAGGATAAATTACCAAAGATGACCTCATCAATGTGCATCTATGAATTCAACTGCTCATGTGGAGCTAGCTAGTTACATTGGCCGTACTCAGATGGCTTTATCCATGAGCGCGTGTGAACATGTACCTGTATGGTTGAGTAAAGGAGTAACCAAATGCGTAAATAGTGCAGTCTTAGCCCACTTGGTAGATACTGGACACCCGATAAAACTTGATCGGGTGTTCTCAGTTATTTACCGCGTTCCTAGTAATTAATCTAGAGGACCTCGACTACGTCTTCTATCAGTAGCTGAAGCGGTTGCAGTTAATGCCAGAACATCATCTTTTTGCATGCAGAAGAAGTATGTGCAACCTCTTTGTTCACCTTAGCCTACAATAAAGCTGACCTTTGGTTGGGTGTTTATGTTCATTTAGTCTTATTTTAAGTGATCCGGCGTTTAACCCATATATTGAGTCGAACACTCAGAACCAGATATTATGTAAATTACATTACTACTTTTATCTATCATTTTTATGGGAACTTTCAGTTGATTTATCTTATTGTTTTAAATTAGATTCATCGGTTTGATTGTGATGCGAATCCCAATATATTCGAGGTTTTGTTCAAATTACCTCTGATATACCATTTGTGTGTGCGTTTGAGA